TAACATAATGTTCCATTGTGTAGCATCATATAATTGCCAACAGCCAAAAAACACATAGTGCAAATCACAAAAGAGCGACAGACGGTGTGGATGCCTGCACGGTATATCCCGTACGTGCATGCATGTCACGTTACTCGTTTGCACGACCAGCAGGCGGACCGGGGTGGTAAATCTGGAAGCAGCCTCAACTCTAGCTCGATCGTTTTGCTTTTTCTTGCACTACATTGCATGCACGTGCAAAGAGTTGATCGCTTCCACGCGGCGGAGGAAGCTGGTTAATTACCGTCGACCGGACCGGGCCACCGCGGCGGAGACATCACACTCACATGTCGCCGCTCAGCTCTTGCTGGCCAAGATAGCTAGCTCGATCGTGGCCGGTCAGCTCCATCTGTTTCGCCTGCAATGATTGGGGAACCATCAGCTCCGGTCAGGTCGTCCCTTGTTGGGTTTACTACTGGTTCATCGATCGATGGGGGTCGTAGACGACGGCGACAACTTGTCCAATGAAGGAATCAACTTTATACTGTACTCCATCGGCAGTGGCCTGCCTGAAAATTTCATATATAGCGTGTGCTCCCTCTCAATATAAGTGTCTCAACTTTATACTATTACAAAGTTATGTTAACCTTGCGACACTAAAATGAAGAGAGTACCGCATGTGCAAGCTAGTAGGCGTAGAAAATGGTAGAAGCAAGTATTCCCCCGTAAAGAAATATAAAAATGTTTAGATTACTAAAGTAGTGATCTAAACGCTCTTATATTTGTTTACAGAGGGAGTAGCTTCTATATATCACATCGTACGATTGACCATGTGTTTTGTGTCGCGTGCTATGCAAGATCGATCGATGCTCTTACACGTACGACCATGTCAGCCGCATAGATACTTACAAAGAAGTTTCCATTTTCGACCGAATCCTATCCCTTTTTTTTTTTGCCCGCGTACGTAACGGCGCCCTGACCGGGCCGGCTGTGGCAGACGATCTCTCGAGTTTTCACGCTATACTACTGGTGAAAATAATATTGGTCAACGATCGGTTTCCAGCACTGACACGTGGGTCCCGGACTGCAGAGGTCTGCGCGCGACTTGCAACGCAGCAGTACGATGCATATACGCATGCTTTAATGATGGAAAGTCGTACATCACGCATGCATGCTGCAGTGACCGGTGACCACTGATGGGTAGGACCCAGTTTAGTTTGAGACGTGCACGCTGCGCGCGCGATACATGCATCCATGCATAGTGTACGTACGTTGATTTTACATAAAACTTCAAACTGCCCCGTCTCGCGGTCGCTCTCGTTCTAGTTCTGGCAATCAACGTTTCTTTCCCCTCTCGCAAAACGAGTAGGGAAAGTATTCCTTCACTCGATCTTCACCGGCCAGTCTGCGGATTCACCTCCCCCGCCTGCCGCTCCGACGGCCGGTGATGGGGAGGGGATTTCTGGTGCATCGAATCCGGCTAGCAGATAGGTAGGGTTTTAGTCCTCGCAGATGGCGGCGCTTCTTCTTTGAGTCAGTCTTCTGTGATCCGGTCCTCCTCAAGTTCGTCCATTGGGACTGATTAGACGGAGCTCCATCATAGATTCCTGGCAGTTCCTCGGGACGACGAGGTTAGGGTTTCTCGTCATGCGTACACAACGACGATATTTGGTGTCAGGGTATTCCGATCTATTCAAGGATTCAACAACAATGACTGCCGCTTTGGGGCGTTGGTCCTTAGGGGCACGTGCACAAAGACTTTTCGACTGTCATCAACAAGGTTAAGCCGGCTCCGGTATGGGAGCGGCGACAATGATGCGTCCGCGGCTCGTTCTAGCGGCGGCAATGGTCGTTCGGTGGTCCATGGACCTTGATGTAATTTTTATTATGTTTGAAGTGTTTTGTATTTCCAATCTTTATAGTAGATTTGATCCTTTTCGCAAAATAATAATAATCAGCTCACCATATGAATCTAGTACTACAACTGCGGCCCTAATTAAGCACATTTGCTGCACTAATGTTTACACTAAAGGTAAGATTGTGAGGTCTAAGAAACTGAAGCATAATAGTTTTGCCTCCGAAAATGATATGCTATCATGTACGGGATCTACTGTGCCGATCCAATTTCTACTATTGCTTTGAGATCAGTACTGCATTTTTTAGTTTTGGCAAAATTTGGCGTGTCTCGATAGTTTCTTGTTTCTTGTTTCAAAGCGTAACATAGTGTTCTGTTGTTTACCTTCGTGTACCAGCAAATCCAGTCTGAAACAAGTGCCCTCTTATTTTTTTGGTACACAACAAAATGTTATTATGCACTTTTAAACAAGGAAAAAATGAAGGAAACATCCGAATAAAACGATACTCCGAAAGATCTTCCAACAACCGAAAACAACAACGGAGGGTGGATGCATGCACGGTATGCCCCGGCCATGGTACTCCCTCCGTCCGGAATTATTTGTCATCAAAATGGATGAAAATGGATGCATCTAAAACTAAAATACATCTAGATACATCCATTTCATTAACAAGTATTTCCGGACGGAGGGAGTAGAAAATAACTCTCGTTTTTCTCCCAACCAAAGATCTTCCCGAAAGCCACTTTTGCTACCATTTCCGACCACCATCCTACACAATTCGGAAAATATGTCTTTTACTTTCATTAATCCTCACCAGAAATGTGATTACCCAGCTTTACACCTTACACATAGTTAAGGTAGCATTCTTCATATACTTATTTCTAAACAGTTCCTGAAAGCTGCATTTTGTTTTTTAATCTTCAAAACCATTTACTTAATAAACATTTCTTATAAATCAGCACACCCAAATCACAGCGGTCTTTAGGCTGACACCCTATCTTCCAGTTGACGAAGTGGAATTTTCTCATCCAATCATCTTCCTTCCAAAGTAACCTTTCCCTAAAAAGGATAATTTCTTCTCAGGAACTTTAGACACTTCAAACATAGGGAGAATACCAAAAGACACATTTGTCAAAGATGGTTTAAGTCAAATTTGTTTGCCCCAATAAGAGTTATGTTTCCCTTTCGAAGCATGTGTTTTCTTCTCTACCCTTCTCATTAGTACTTACTTTCCCAATCCTTATTATGAAATCTATCAGTATTCAGAGGTATCTTAGCCTCTTAAGATACTTAAAAGGCAAGCTACCCTCTAGTCTACACATGTAAAAATAAAAGTATATCCACTAATCATATATTTTTTCTTTACCAAAACAAAACACCTGGCTTTTGTGAAAATTGACTTTTAAACGAGAAACCTGTTGAAACGTGCACAAAATAAACATGCATACTCTCTTGGCGTCACTGCATGTTGGTCGCCAATGCATGCACGGAACAATGGAACAATGCATACGAACACTATAAATAGGGGTTAATGCACAGCCAGAGGAGCACACCAAGCTAGCCTCATTTGGCAACCTAATTAACCCCGAGCGCTACATTAGGGTCTCTCTGATTGATCGAACGGAGGAGAGCTAGCTAGCTTTCTTTCAATGAGGAAGATGGGAGCATCCCTCTCCTCTGCTGCTGCCAAGGCGCTACTGCTCGTGCTAGCCTTCATCAACCTCGCGATCCAGAGGCTGCTGCTGCTCAGGCGCCCCAAGAGCAAGATCGCGAGCGGTGCCGGTGGTCACAGCTCCAGCATTACAAATGCTGCGTCGCGGCGGCACATTGCTCGAAATTACTTATCCTCACAAACGATAGAAAAGTGAGGAAATAATCCTATAGATTATTCCCAATGTCATGATGATGTCAATGGAATTGGTATGACACATCCTCCAGATTTGCAAAGTTCAGGGGAGTAATCTCCTAAACTATAACTTGTTAACAATCATCAGATTGCATATATTGTACTCCTTTTCCCTTGATGAGTTTTTCCATAATGGTTTGCCATAAAAGGTTTTTAACGAGACAAGATAAACACAAGCGTATGTATATGCCATATCATTTTCTTCTTATATTTTTCCAACTGAATTTTAAGGGAGTTTTCAATGGCATATCTGATTGCACTCTTTTCCCTTATGAGTTTTCTCTCAGAGTTTCCCATAACGGTTTTTAATGAGGCAATATTTTTTAAGATCATATGCTATACTTTCAAGTTTTTTTCCCATCGGGTTTCTAAAGGAAAGTATACAAAGCATATTTATTGTTCTCTAAACTCACCAACGAGATTTATCCTTCCTCAAAGGTTTTTCTCATATGAGTTATCAAGAGACAATATTCGTTATATGTTGCATCATTTTTCTCCTTATTATTTTTTCCCAATGGGTTTAAAGGAGTTTGAGCAACATATCTAAACTATTCTCCTCATATTTTTCCCACAGGGTTTTTGGAGAAGACTTTAAGGATTATACAAGGATTTCTCAAGATGAAGATGATCAACATTTCTCAAAGGCAAAGATATACAAGGAGTATTATTTACCAAGATGATGCATATTTAAAAACAGAAGCATTGATTATAGGGGGAGTGTTAGGAATTAATTATATGCATTAATTAAATGTAAATCCATGCTATGTCGGTGGCCATGTTTTGGCAACTGCCGCCTTTGTAACCGCCGTGTAATGAGGGTATAAATACCCTAATTTTTAATCAATGAGATAACTGTTCCATCATTTGCTCCCCCTCTCGTTTTTACTTTAACACATACAAACACTATAAATAGGGGTTAATGCATAGCTAGAGAGCACACCTAGCTAGCCTCTCATTTGGCATACTAATTAACCCCAAGCTCTCACATTACTGCCTCTGTGATTGATTGAACAGAGGAGAGCTACAGCCAGATTTCAATGGGGAAGATGGGAGCGTCCCTCTCCTCTGCCACTGCCAAGGCGCTAGTGCTGGTGCTAGCCTTCATCAACCTCGCGATCCAGAGACTGCTGCTGCTCAGGCGCCCCAAGAGCAAGATCGCGAGCAGTGCTGGTGGTCGTAGCTCCATTACTAATGCTACGTCGGCGGCAGCTCTCCCGCCGGGGCCAGTGCCCTGGCCGGTAGTGGGGAACCTCCCCGAGATGCTGTTCAACAAGCCAGTGTTCCGGTGGATCCACCAGATGATGGAGAAGATGGGCACCGACATCGCCTGCGTCCGCCTTGGCGGTGTCCACGTCGTCGCCGTCACCTGCCCCAGCATCGCCCGCGAGGTGCTCAGGAAGCAGGACGCCAACTTCGCCTCCCGCCCGCTCACCTTCGCCTCCTCCGCCTTCAGCGGCGGGTACAAGAACGCCGTGCTCTCGCCGTTCGGCGACCAGTGGAAGAAGATGCGCCGCGTGCTCACCTCGGAGATCGTCTGCCCGTCCCGGCACCGGTGGCTCCACGACCGCCGCGCTGGTGAGGCCGACAACCTCACCCGCTACGTCTATGCCCTCACCATGGGATCCGCGTCCGCGTCGGGCGTGGACGTGAGGCACGTGGCGAGGCACTACTGCGGCAACGTCATCCGCTCGCTAGTCTTCGGCCGGCGGTACTTCGGCGAGCCTCAGCCGAACGGCGGCCCGGGCCCGATGGAGGTGGAGCACATGGACGCGGTGTTCAGGTCCATGGGGCTCCTCTTTGCGTTCTGCATTTCCGACTACCTTCCCTGGCTGCGCGGCCTGGACCTCGACGGCCAGGAGAAGATGGTCAAGGAGGCAAACGCGACGGTGAACCGGCTCCACGACACGGTCATCGACGAGCGGTGGAGGCAGTGGAAGTCCGGCGAGAGGAGGGAGCTCGACGACTTCCTCGACGTGCTGATCACGCTGGAGGACGCTGAGGGGAAGCCGCTGCTCGCCATCGAGGAGGTCAAAGCGCAATCGCAGGTAGGACTCCCATGGCCATGGTGCAATGTCAGCGCACGTCAAGCATTTATACTGGGTGAAACAAAAGTTGACTACACACCCTATTAATGTGTTGCATTGGGATGATGGTGCAGGACATAACATTTGCCGCCGTTGACAACCCGTCGAATGCGGTGGAGTGGGCGTTGGCGGAGATGGCGAACGCGCCAGAGGTGATGGCGAAGGCGATGGAGGAGATGGACCGGGTGGTGGGCCGGGAGCGGCTCGTGCAGGAATCAGACATTCCGCATCTCAACTATGCCAAGGCGTGCATTCGTGAGGCATTTCGGCTGCACCCGGTCGCCCCCTTCAATGTGCCACATGTTGCCCTAGCCGACACCACAGTCGCCGGTTACCGCGTGCCCAAGGGCAGCCATGTCATCCTCAGCCGATCTGGGCTTGGCCGAAACCCAACCATCTGGGACGAGCCGCTCTGCTTCAAGCCAGAGCGCCACATTAATATGGATGATGGCGGCAATGTGGTGCTCACGGAGAACGAGTTGCGGTTCATCTCCTTCAGCACTGGCCGCCGCGGATGCATCGCATCGTCGCTTGGGACAGCCACGTGTGTGATGCTCTTTGGACGGCTACTACAGGGATTCACTTGGAGCAAACCGCCAGGGTTGTCGGCCATTGATCTCAGCGAATCAGAGCACGACTTATTCATGGCCAAGCCGTTGGTGCTACATGCCGAGCCACGCCTGCCGATGCATCTCTACTCTGCCACCGACATCTAATAGATCTCGGGTTGGCTAGAAGTCAGCGTAATAATATTCTGTTATCACAAATAACCAGTTCCATCGACAGTATAGTCATGCATGAGCTCTATGCTCTATATGGTGTAACAATTATTCTTCTCAATTGGTTAATATCTGTTAGTGTGGAAGTGTGCGGACGGTACATTGCCATCGCTTGTGCAAGTTTGTACACCGTGAATTTGTTTACTTATTTCAGCTCAAGGAGCACATTTCGTAGTCAAACTCACAACACATGATCTTGAGGTCAGGGATGGAGCCAAGATTTACACATAGAGGGGACGAGCTTGCTCATGGAGGGAATGAGAAAATTTG